AATGGATTTGTTTGATCTGTGACTGAAAAAAGGATTCGTGGGAGCAGAGCAGGTTTGAGCGATGGCAAAATGCGTGAATGTAGTAAGTGGTTATTGGTTATAAAGTCGAGAATTAGCCATGTTCCATTGCAAAGATCGTTTCTCATTGCTATATTGCGCAAGAGAATGATGGGAGCATGTTGTTTCAAATGGAAAACATGTGGCGGTAGTCAAGGTAGATCTAAAGTATTAAGGGTGTCGACGGAGATGTCAGGATATGTATCATTTGGAAGGAGTGTGTCCGCACTAAGGGACGTGATAGGAAAGCCAGAAAATTGGTCAAGGATTATTGAGTTTAGGGCTGGAATAGTCTTATTTTTTGGTGTCAGGATAAGTCGTTCAGCGAGCCATTGTGGGTTGTGATAATTTGTTGTGAGATTGAGAAATGTCCAGCCAATAAGGTCCATTGTTCCTCCATGGAAGCATAGGTGAGATGGAAGGGTAATTTTAGTGGGTGACATTGGGTCTGGTTGCTCTAGAGTGCCATTGCCGAGTGTGAGTAACCATTGAGCATATTGTTGGGCTTCGGCACTGTTATTCAGGGCAAGAACGCGCATGTTTTCAGTGAGGTGCATTGTTTGGAAATGTTCCCAAAGCGGTGAAGATTTTAGACACGCAGCGATTGTTTGTGCGCGGATCCCTTTGGTAACAACAGGTAAGATTTGCCTAAGTCACCTCCGAGGACCATGACCTTACCACCAAAGGGTAGGGTTGAGGAGCAATGCCTTGAAATGTTTTGTCCATGGCTTCAACTTGATATCTGTTTATCATAGGAGCTTCATCCCAGACAATAGTGACCGTCATGCGAATGAGGTCAGCAAGTGTACTTTGTTTATGAATGTTTAGAGTAGATGTTTCAATTGGTGTTAGTGGAGCTTTGAAGCGAGAGTGAAAAGTTCGACCTCCGGCGAGGAGCGTTGCTGCAATGTCACTTGAAGCAACAGCTAGAGCAATTCGGTCCTGTAGTCGTATATGTGCAATGATAGTGTTGAAGCAGAAAGTTTTTCCTGTTCCTGCAGGAACATCAACAAAGAGGCAGAGTGGTTCATTATTTTCTGTAGCGGTCACAACTCGTTGGAATAGTGCATGTTGTGATGGTCGGAGAAGTGGAAGGTTGATATCGAGTGTTCGTCGCAGTTCTTGCTTGTCATATGATATCTCATCATCAATCAGTCTCGGAATATCGTTTCGACGTAGCCGTTCTCCGAGGTGGGTTGCTTCATTCCGGTCGGTTGTGAGCGGTGGGATCAGACCAACGTCCTCAAGCTCTTTGCCTTCTTTTTGGAGGCGGTCTTCGATATCTAAGAGTAGAAACGTTCCTAAAAGATTTTGTGTAACGTTGACACCTGGGAGATTTCTATGGTAATTGTCCATCATTCGTTCCTAATGTGTTTTGAAAAGTTCGTTAGGATCTGCAGGATTGCAATGTAGGATGATGTGGATGAAAAGATCACGGACCATAGGTGATGGTGATGTGAAAATAGCGTCACGAAGCACAACGTCAAATTGTGTGTTGTCGTTAAGGAGGTCGAGCGCTTTGCAGACAGATTGGAATGTAAGGTGAGTATGGTTGTTGACAGTTCGTAAGTGGGCGAATGTGGTTGCACCACGGGAGTGTGGTGAAGTGAGTAGCATGCGCAGGTAGAATGTGTCACCTACGTTTGGATGAATGTTGTGGATGCGACCGATTGTGTTTGTTGCACGTCGTCGGAGGATCCATTGTTACTTGGTTTATCAAATCTGAATCTGCGGACCATATCTTTGTAGAGGGGTTTGGTTTCTTCAGGACCGTGAAGATGTGTGACATTCCATTTGAACCATGCTGTGAGTTCGGTTTCAGGTGATGGAGCATGTGCAATTTGTCGCGCTTGTTGTTGTTGTCGAAAATAAACGCGTTGTCAGTTTTTCGTGTGAACTGGAAGTGCGGTTACAGGAGGATATCGTTCAGATACAACAAAGTCGAATATCCGCCAACATGCTTCAGCTACACCAATTGTGCGCATGTCTTGATAGGTTTGAATTTCATCGTTCGTATTAAGCGCCTCAGCGACCGTTGTTTTTTCTTGACCTTTTAAGATGTATTTGAACATATAACGACAGGCGGTCGTCGAAGCGCAGATTTTAACATTTATGTGGCAGCAGTAGCGAAGGAGGAGGTACGGATTATAAGGTACAATCCAAGAATTGTCGAGTAATTGATCACGTAGAGAAGCTGTTATTCCTCCATCAGATGGTGCACGACGACGGTAGATAGGGTATCCTGTCTCCTCATTCCATGTTGTTCGTTCCGAAAATTCTTTGAGGAAGAACCATGTGCATTGATCGTTATGCATGCATGATGCGGTCGGATTATTTATTCCACATGGATTGTGTATCATTTGAGTTAAGACGAGTTCGCGTAATTCCGGATTTTCAGGGATTTCATCGCAAACGACAATGTCAATCTGTTCGGGCGTAGAGATTTTAGCATCGTCTTATTCGGCAATAAGATGAGCATGTGGTAAGCCGCGTGTTTTGAATTCAATAGTGTAGATATACGCAGTAGTTATTCCAAAGATGTGAGTCGAGTGGATATCATGAATGAGTTGTCGTAAGTACCATTTGAAGATACGTGCAAGCAAATCAGGTCTGTCAGCGGGTTGTTGGTTTGGCATGAGTGAGTTTTCAATTTCAGGCCAATGCGAATTGCACGTTATCGTGATGAAAAGATCGAGAGCACCCAATTCTTGAACAACGGCCATTACATCTTGATATCGCCGGTGTATGTCGTGTGGACTACCCGTGAATGATGCGGGAAGAATAATCCGTTAGCCAATATTTTATGTGTTGTCGTATACCATAACGTGGTCATGAAGGTTTTGATAGAGGTCTGCTCGGATCTCTACCTGGTGGAAGCGATTGTACAAAAGACGGACATTCTCAATTTTAACAAATGTCACACAAACGTACTCTTGAAAAAGACGTGAAGCACGAAAAATTGTGGTTATTTCCGTATGTCGTGTATTGAGATGGAACGCGTAGAATTCGCGGGCAGTGATATTATGAATATTAGGATTCGCCTGGTCGTCTTGTTCAACCCCCCATCCATCTTCGCCTGTTGGAAAAAACAGGGTGTAGTGTAGTGGATCAAATGCCCGGTTCGTTTCAGGAATAGGCACAACTCCACCCGCACGTCGATGGATGACAATTTCGCGATTAATGGGTTCGTCATGCATCAGAACACAGAGTTTTTGGAGGTCTTCTGGTCTGTTGTATCGTCGTGCGTGTTTTTGTAACGGGCGCACGTCTGGATTGATGACAACATGAATATTTTTTAGTGCATGTTCCGAGAATTCGAAGATGGTAATGAAATGTTGAACCCAGCGGTTGCATTGACAAAGTAAAGAATGAACAGTTCGTAGAACAGACTTGATGGCTTGGACCGTGGCAAGCGGGGTGTCTTGTGGTAGGTCGAGTCTTTGTAAACGTAAGAGGGTTGCGTTATAGCCATTCTGTGGATCGTATATATATATATATATATTTGGGCAAAGGATGGTTGTTGGTTCTCATTTGGGAGTAGTGGACCGATGTGTTGTTGGAGTCGGCCTTCTATTCTTAGCAAACCTCGCCAACGCCCAACAGGCATCTGGGTTTCTTTAACGGATTGGGATGCAAGGGCGAGTGTCGTATTGAATTGGCGTGCGCGCAATCGCAATAATCTACCATGCCTGCTATCTTTCTCCCATAGATCTAAAATGCGGGCAGTAGGTGTCATTGCGTCAGGATACGTCCAGAGTGGCGGGTGTACTTTGCCACGTAGGCAGCAGAGTGATGTCCACGGAAGTTCGTGAGGCCATTTTTCTGCTTGAAAGTGCGTGCAGGGTTCTATGTCCAAGATTAATTACGTCGACTGAAACTTGCCGCGCGAATAAGGTAGACGTGTGAATGCATGCATTGTTGATTCGTGGCAGGATATTCTCAATATGTCTTTCTCTGAAATGTCTTTGTCGTGCTCTGGCTGCAGGTCGCGTTCTTTCTATGGCAGCGTGGGAACTTTCGGCTGACGTTGGGAGGACAGAACACACAGGAGAAAGGATAGAATGTATGAAATTATTGTGTAGAGAGCAGGGGCGAGCAAGGGCGAATAGGCAGAAGAAAACACGGAGCATAGAAAACATGAACACAAAAATGAGAATTATTAGTCAAATTGGAGATTTTTGTTATGCGGGCGCTCGTCCGCAAGAAAAAAAGAAAAAAGGAAAAAAGAGGAATATTACAGAAATAAGGGGAAAAAAAAAGCGAAAGAAAGAAAATGAAAAGAGCAGATTATCGGCATGACAAAAAAGGCAGTTTAGTGGAAAAAAAAAAGAAAAAAAGAAAAAAAAAAGAAAAAAAAGGGGAATATACAGATGATTTTCAGTGAAAAATTGTCTAAACCTTCTAGCATATTGGCCTAGAGATAGGTGATCGGATTCCTCAATTGGGATGACAAAGAAAGAAAGCAGTCGATTAATACATACGATTTTTTGAAAAAGATATTTGCATTAAATTTGATTAAAAAAAAAAAAAAAAGTACAGAGGATTTCCGAATTTTTTTTTATATTTAGTTAAGGCTTTAATCTCTCTATCATTTACTCGTTATATGATAGTACATTAAGTTATATAAGCGGTGTTGAAGAAGGCCACGACCTACAGAAAGACGATAGGATTGCTTAATCGGCGTCACAAAAAAAGACACTTCAGTCAAAAAAAAAAAAAAAGGGGGGAATATACAGACGATTTTCAGAAAAACACTGTTTGAACTCTTCAGTATATTGATGTATGCAATCATTTAATAAAAGAGATAGTAGAGAATTCAAAATTCGCATTGAAAAAAAAAAAAAAAAAAAAAAAGGCTTTAATCTCTCTATCATTTATTCGTTATATGATAGTACATTAGGTTATATAAGTGGTGTTGAAGAAGGCCATGACCTATAGAGAGACGATAGGATTGCTTAATCGGCGTCACAGAAAAAGGCACTTCAGTAAAAAAAAAAAAAAAAAAAAAAAGGGAATATACAGACGATTTTCAGAAAAACACTGTCCGAACTCTTCAGCATATTGATGTATACAATGATTTAATAAAAAAAAAAAAAAAAAAAAAAAAATTCGAAAAAAAAAAAAAAAAAAAAAAAAAAAAAAAAAAAAAAAAAAAAAAAAAAAAAAAAAAAAAAAAAAAAAAGAACACAGACGATTTTCAAGAAAACATCATTCGAATTCTTGCTCGCTGATCGTGACGTTTCCTGCCTTTGTTCGTGTCTTCCATCCTGACTTTCCGGTCTCGACCTCTGATCCCGACCTGCCGGGCTCAACGTCCTCACGTCCCGATCCCGAGTGCTCAAACTCTCCCTCCGATCTTTCTTCCTCACCCCTTGTCCCAACGTCGCGACTACCATCTCGTTTCGTCGTTGCAACTCTCCCCACGATCTCTCCTTCTCTCCCCTCAAAATCCCGACCGCGACCTCCCGAGCTTGCCTTTTCACCGTTCCCATCCCCCATCCCGACTTCGATCATGACTTCCCGCTCGTTCATTGTCACTCCCCCCTCCCGACCTCCCCATCCCGTCCCGATCTTGATACCGTCTTCGATCCCCCGACCGGTCCCCCATCCACACTTCCCCAGTCCTATACCATCCCGCCTCGACATCGTGCTCACCCCTTGTCCCGACGTCGCGACTACCATCCCGTTCCGTCGTTGCAACTCTCCCCCCGACCTCTCTTTCTTTCCCCTCAATGCCCCGACCGCGACTTCCCAAGCTTGCCTTTCATCGTTCCCATCCCCCATCCCGACTTCGATCATGACTTCCCGCTTGTCCATTCTCACTCCCGCCTCCCGACCTTCCCATCCCGTCCCGATCTTGATACCGTCTTAACTCTTTGTCCCCGATCCCAACCTCTCCTTCTTTGTCCTTGCTTTCCTGACCGGTCCCTCATCCCCACCTCCCAAGTCCTATACCATCCCGCCTCCACATTGTGCTCCTCCTTTCTCTCTTCACGTCTCCCATCCCGACGTCCCGGTGCCAGCCTCCAATCCCGATCTCCTCGTGCTCACCTCTGCCTGTCTGTGCCAAACTCTCCTTCTCCCCCTGACCTCTCCCTGTTCCAATTCTCCCTCCCTGATCCCGACCCTCTCCCGGTCCCGACCGGTCCCGACGTCTCGCTCTCTTGCGAACCCGACTTCCCATTGCGACCTCCCCGTCCCGACGTTTCGCTCTCTCGTCTTACTTCCCCGACCACGTCCCAACCCCTCCCCTTGCCGGCGACCTCCCTATCCCATCCCGATCTTGATACCGTCCCATCCCTCTCCGATCGCGATCTCTCCCTCCTCTATTCGCATCTCCCATCCCATCCCGACTTCCCCGTCCCGACGTCTCGCTCTCTTGCCTTCCTTCTTCGACCGCGTCCCAACCCGTCCCCAATCCCGACCTCCGGACTTCTCCGACCTTAACTTCATCCTACGTCTTCCTCCTTGATCCTGTTTCCTTCCCTCGACATTATGCCAACTTCTCCTCCCTCCTCCTCGCCACCATCCCATCCCGACGTCCACATCATCCCATCTCTTCTTCCCTGATCTCATCACCTCTCCCTCCTTCGCGTCTCGATTTCTCTCCGCCGCTGCTTCCTTTCCCCCGGCATCATGCCAACTTCCCCTCCCTTCTCCCTGCCACCCTCCCTTCTCGGCGGCCTCCCCATTCCATCCCGATCTTGATACCTCTCCTCCACATCATCCTATGTCTTCCTTGCTGATCCCGCTTCCTCCCCCCGACATCATGCCAACTTCCCCTCCCTCCTCCCCGCCACCCTCCCTTTCCAGTCCCGACCTCCCATGCCAACTTGTCCCCCCTCCTCCCCGCCACCCTCTCTTCCCGGTCCCGACTTCCCATCACGATCCTCTCGTCCCCACCTTTACCTCTCTGCGCTTGCTCTCCCGACCACGACCTCCCGATCTGATCTCCCGATTCCCATCCCATCCCGACCTCCACATCATCCTACGTCTTCCTCCCCGATCCCGCCCCCCCCCTGACCCCGCTTCCTGCCCCCGACATCATGCCAACTTCCCCTCCCTCCTCCCCGTCACGCGACAAAAAACAATAAACCAAAACAAAATCCCGACCTCCCATGCCAACTTCTCCTCCCTCGTCCCCGCCACCCTCTCTTCCCGGTCTCGACCTCCCATCCCGATCCCCTTGTCCCCATCCCCCCGACACCATGCCAGCTTCCCCTTCCTCCTCCCCGCCACCCTCCCTTTCCAGTCCCGACCTCCCATGCCAACTTGTCCTCCCTCCTCCCCGCCACCCTCTCTTCCCGGTCCCGACTTCCCATCCCGATCCCCTCGTCCCCACCTTTACCTCTCTGCGCTTGCTCTCCCGACCACGACCTCCCGATCTGATCTCCCAATTCCCATCCCATCCCGACCTCCACATCATCCTACGTCTTCCTCCCCTATCCCGCCTCCCCCCTGATCCCACTTCCTACCCCTGACATCATGCCAACTTCCCCTCCCTCCTCCCCGTCATGCGACAAAAAACAATAAACCAAAAAAAAATCCCGACCTCCCATGCCAACTTCTCCTCCCTCCTACCCGCCACCCTCTCTTCCCGGTTGCGACCGATCCCCTCGTTCCCACCTTTACCTCTCTACGCTTGCTCTCCCGAGCACGAGCTCCCGATCTGATCTCTCGATTCCCATCCCATCCCGACCTCCACATCATCCTACGTCTTCCTCCCCCATCCCGCCTCCCCCCTGATCCCGCTTCCTGCCCCC